AGATAATGATGACCTTCAGTCATTCCATCCATCGATCATTAACATATTTTTCATTAAGGGCCAAGCGAGGTATGCTGAATATTATCAGCATTCAGCATTGAACATTTAGCTGCCAAATGATAAAGAATTGCTGAATATTTATATATAAACATTTAAATGTTCCTTAGTGGTGGTCGTGGCAAGTACCGATATTGCGATACTGCCCGAAAATCAGACCCCCCCCCCCCCAGATATATAATCGCAGTCAAACAAAATGAAAATAATGTAGATGTATAGATTGCGCCTGTTGCAGAATACCAACTTTCTAGTCTATTTATATGCATATTATAGTTCAAGTTCAAGTTCAAGTTCAAGTTCAATTTTATTGATCATGCACAATTACATGGCATAAAAATCATTTTCCGTCTGTTTCTCAATTTATATAACATCAATTAACATACATGTACTATCAATTTATACAAAGTACAAAACCAGGAATAAATATAACACACAATAGAATATGAGTACAGACTGGTATACGGTGTAGGCTTTGGTATAATTACACACAAATTACAACCATAGACATACCAGAGATCACTACTGGTAATATCATTATACAGTTATAGGTAGATTACAAGAGTTTAAATAAATATGCAGTACATCCATATATCCTTAATAACTGAGTCTGTAACTAATAATAAATAATTAACAATTACCTCCTGAACCTGTCGTTGTGTAGTATCATGGCACGTATGAGAAATGACCCCCTAAATCTATTTGTTTTGACTTTTGGAAGCCTGACCCGTCCTGATTTGTTGGGGAAAAAAAGGAAAAAAATATATGTCTATGTAGGCGAGGGATGCCGACTGCATAGGAAAAATGGTTTCATTTTTTAAAATAACGTGTTAATGTATAGTCTGCTGATTGAAATGTAGGCTTACAGATTAGAAATGCAAATAAATTAAAAAAAATAGACCACATCGCTGACGCCCAGATATGATTCAACGATTGCCCAAATAAACGGAAGCTTTTGTATTGTCGGTTTGGAATGTGGTGCAGCCGACGTCACCCTAGCCTCCTAGCCCAAAGCCCCAACCCCCTGCCACAAACTCTGCCCTTTTTATAGTTTGACCACGGTTACGAAAGTACTTGCACCGTTTTTATAAATACCGTATATTATCTAATTGATAGAACCCCTGACATTTGGGGGAAAATACCCTTTTGGGGCAAACAGATTTTTTTTATAAAAGTAAAGGAAGAACTATATTTTGAGTGTGAAGCGAATAAATGTATAGATTATCCGAACAAGAAGAATCTTTTTCAAAGGAATCCCGCACCATTATAGATCGTCGCCTAAAGATATCAACTTACATGTACCTTTAATTTATGTGGCAATCCTTCTTCATGATTATTTCATGTTAGTATTACAATATATTAAGTATAATACGTTGATGCTGTAATAACCGTATCAATTTGTTTATTATCACGATTATGTTGTAATTAGTTTGTAACTTTGGAAAAAATAATGAAAAGATGAAAAATTAAAAAAATCAAATCAAATCAAGAAGTACCCCATACAGAACTGAATACGATCGCAATAGCTTCTGATGTAATGCCACTTATCTAATTTCATAGAGCCCCGAGTGAACCAATGAAGTAGGTGGTTGACCTTTGGCACCAATCATCATTATCATCTATTATGTGATAGGACCATGCATGACGTCATGTTTGCTGCTGATAAATCTTACGAGTAACGTAACGCCTAGTTCTCAACCGGGTAACCTATTTATTCGTTAAACAAACGTATCAAGGGCGTCAAAGAAGAACAATGGTGTTTAAAGAAGAAAACAAAAATCTATTAAGGTCTTACGGTATTAAATAACTAGTTTGATACTGCCCGCTTTGTATAAACTATACAGAAAGGTCTCTCTATTCCATGTTTATGCTGGTATCATTATCGGTACTTGAAGGCCATAGTGTCTAATGTTGACGAAGTATGGTATTATTAAAATAGGCTAGGTGAATTGTAATGATTGATGAATGTGAAACAATCGGATAACTTGAAAGAAATTGTGAGCTGACACATCTTCTCCTTAATGTTCTTTAAATCTCTTTCTAAATAAACTCTAAAGAAAGCATTTAAAAGAAAATTACAAGAAATGTATAAACAAATGTAATAATATAATAATGATCAAATAAGGCGATCTCAAAGACTTTCGAAAAATCACCCGTACGTATTTTCGATAAGTCTTGTCTATCACCTTCTGAAATGGTCAAACTCTTACGATAACGCAATTAAGTAATATGAAAATGATTAATATAGGATATATACTACAGAGTATTGAAATTGTCCTTTAGTTGATTTTTCGAAAGTCTTTGCGATCATGTTAGATAATACGCTCAAATAATAATGGTTGATTTAAGAATGGTTTCGAAGGAGGATGTTGGTCAAGATGACCATTAAATTTATGAATCATTTGTCAATTTATTCAGAGTTTGGGCCAATGTTACGATCCTGGTCAACCTGGACGACGTTGGACTTCTGGTCAAAAGAACCCTTTTTATGATTAGTTGGATAAAGGTCCAGATCGGAAGTGACCAATTCCCTTTTACGTGGAGAAACATGAAGAAACCATTCGAGGAAGATCCGTGTTTGTATTATTTTCGATGTCGACTGGACTGAAGTGACGTCATTTAGGAAGAAATTTGTTTACGGTTTAACATCCCCATGCCCCCCTGTGCTACACTTACAGACAAGAAGAACTGCCCCCTCCCCCCATCAAATGATGCAAGTACCAAAATATAAAGACAATGTGAGAAAAGAGAGAAATGAATAGGGAGAAGGGGAAAAGGACGAGAAAAGAAAACACCAGGACCACATCCCGCAAACCCAATAATTAGCCTTGTAAATTCGCATTGCATTTTCAGAGTAGGAACGATGCCCCTCCCCCCCAATTTTACCAGTGTCTTTTAAATGGGCGGACTCATGCTACACCAATTAGCAACAGGGATGTGTCCCAAGGATTCTGTTAAAGGTACTATGTCCCATTTGCAGGCCAAAAAATGAAAAGGTTTAATTCCAACAGCATTTGAAAGATAATTCTAATTTAGAACTTCCCTACAAAAGGTGGGGCTTGAGAATGTCTTCAAGTGGGAAAATAACGTTTATTGGTTGTCAAATCGACTTAGGAGCTATAGAGCCAATACGTAATAGTCTTGATTTTCAGACTATTGTACCGAATGGTCAATCAAAGATTCAATCAGTTTAATTTTGGCCATCACAAGAAGTGGGTTATTGATGTAGACAAATGCCCATGTACCCTTTACAGCTCATTTTATGTATGTTATTACCAAAGAAGAAAAAAGCCAGTCAGTCACTCAATAGTGTCTGACAGTGAAGTCTAGCAAGTAAACGGGTTTCCTTGCGTAATTTGAATATTTGGACACTGCTAACGTTTAGATTTCACAGATAGGACATACATGACATATTCATAATTCCTGCAAAGTTCTACAAAATTTGAGGTTGGCTGCAAAAGGGACATAGTACCCAGTTAAAGAGGGTGGGGGGGGGGGGTAAAGAAACTAGAACAAGCAAAATGAGAGGTTTATCATAGTTTGTTTGTGTCAATTCGCTATAACAATACATGAAAAGAAAAGAAAAGAAGAAGAGGAAGAAGGAAATAAAAGATTTGAAGGTGCCTTCCGCATACTAGTATCCAATTTGAAAGGTGGCATAAGACCACTGTTTAGGGGGTGGGGCGCATGTTTCTTATGTGCATAACAAGTTATCCACAAAGGGTTCCAAAATGGAGGCACGGGCCTTTGTGAACCCCTCTCTCTTCTTTCTTTTGGCATTGTCTACTTTTTTATATTGTGACCGTTTTCTCCTATCTTTGTCATGTACAGTATTTTCTTGTCCCGTTCTCGTCTCGGTTGTCATCCCCCTTTCCCCCTTTTTATATATCTAGTTCCGTAATATGCTTACGAATGTTTTAATTTAATTACTTATTATTCCTACTATCATTTGAGGGGCCCACAATTGTACAAGCATTGCTTAGTGAACCCCTCTGTTTTCAATATGTATTCCTCAATTGTTGAGTAAATGCTTATAATTAAAATGTAATGTTTTGTCGGAAACAAAATTAAAATAGATTAGAATTGAATTGAAATCCCTCCCTAAAGGTGTATTTTAGTTTACTCGATTGTGTATCCAGCAAAAAGGATGTAGTTGCGGCGTACTCCCTCCGGTTATTGGCCCCGCGGTAAAAAAAACATTATTACATATCCCGATTGGTCTACAGCAAGTAAGACTACCAAATGCACACAATAATTTCATCGCTTCCTCATTTTATCAATAGACAATTCCTTATGTATTACAATGTATATGCCTTTACGAACAACGAGCTATACATTCACCTCTTATGACTACTGTTGTTTCAGTAGTCAGAATGCATATTGCATAGGCCTTCATTATTATCAATTGTTGCCCCCGGTCGTTGCCCTACCTAACAACAGTCATTCATGCAAATGAAATACAACTATTCGTGACAGTTGAATGAAATAATTTGTAACGATGCACTTTTAAACTTTACATAGACTAGGCTTACGTATCAAATTTCAATACATTACGAAAATGGACCATTTTCTGTAAAGCCACTAATAGGGTCTTAATGGAGTAACTCATACGGAACGAAGAGGTACATGGGCAAACTAACTTCCCTGTAGTTGTATTTACAGTCCAGGGTAAATAGTCCGGAGTATCAACAGGAAATAGGTCCTAGCACCCTGGTGCTTCAGAAGGAAGTCACCGACAAAAGTTGTTATCTGCCACCGAAATGTTTTACACAGTGACTCAGGGTAAAAACAGGTCATGAATATTCATAAGTTTACTTTACTAAACTCGTACTGCCTTATTAGTGTAACACAAACACGTTTTATGTGTGTAAAGCACCTCGATGCAAGCTAAGGCCCGCCCCCGTTATACACCATGTACAAACAAAAGCGAAAATGACCATAAAAGGGAATGAGAATGTAAAAGATCCATCACGGAACTAGCATAAATATCGATGGTTTGAGCATGATCTGTCACTTGATTTGTCTGCCCCTTAGGATTACATAGGCTCCTGCTTTCCTTTATTCTTCTCAAGGTAAGTCGTGAAATACTTCGCTATACTACTTCAAATCAGAGTCAAAGGATCTTTTTATTATATTAGCAGTACTGCAGACAGTACAGACTGGTGGGCTTCAGGTTGGAGTTTAGTTAACTAGCTTTCGAAAGTCAAAGAACTAGTTGTTTGAGTATTAATTACAGTCATTTTACAATCTAATGGTTTAAGTCGACGTGACCATGATACGACACTGTCATGGCGATTGCTTTTGTTACAGGAGGAAAGACTGTTGGCGTGAACGGTTGCAATTGAAATTCCATGCGTAGTTTCTGTTCGTAGATCTACAAATAAAATATCTTTTCTTATTAAGATAATGCAATCTAAATTACCTCCGTGTTCTTTCGAATTGTCACTCATTCTTCAAATACAAATTGTGAGATCACACGTTTTCTGTACGGCCCTACAAATACGTAGGACACCTGGATATGTAGTGAACCTAAAGTTTATAATTATGTTCTTGTATGTCCATCAATTTAACCGGAAAAAAAAAATCATCTGTCTAATATCATTATCTATTTTCACACTTTTAGATCGAACTAGATTAAACAAATCATCATGTGTGACGACGATGTTGCCGCTCTTGTCGTCGACAACGGATCCGGTATGGTGAAGGCCGGATTCGCCGGAGACGACGCCCCAAGGGCTGTCTTCCCATCCATCGTTGGCAGACCCCGTCACCAGGGTGTCATGGTCGGCATGGGACAGAAGGACAGCTACGTCGGAGACGAGGCCCAGAGCAAGAGAGGTATCCTCACCCTGAAGTACCCAATTGAGCACGGTATCGTCACCAACTGGGACGATATGGAGAAGATCTGGCATCACACCTTCTACAACGAGCTCCGTGTTGCCCCAGAGGAGCACCCCGTCCTCCTTACCGAGGCTCCCCTCAACCCCAAGGCCAACAGGGAAAAGATGACACAGGTAAGATTTTCTTAATTGCTTCCTTCATTAACAATAATCCTGGTGGCCGAAAGAGATCCGCGGATGATTTAACCAATGAGCAACATTTTAGAATGTCCACAATTTGAAACATGGAAAGCTATTACAATGATTTAAAACTAAGCAATACTTGATTTCACAATAGGTTTTGTGATCAGTCCTTTGCCATCAGTCATTAATAAGCCAAACAACCGTTTTCTTCTGCAGATCATGTTCGAGACCTTCAACTCACCCGCCATGTACGTCGCCATCCAGGCCGTGCTTTCCCTCTACGCCTCTGGACGTACCACTGGTATCGTTTTCGACTCTGGTGATGGTGTTTCACATACCGTGCCAATCTACGAGGGTTACGCCCTCCCCCACGCCATCCTCCGTCTGGATTTGGCTGGACGTGATCTCACAGACTACCTTATGAAGATCCTTACCGAGCGTGGCTACTCTTTCACTACTACCGGTAAGATACAATTCATTACTTTTAATTAAAGAATGAAAACCTTATGTAACTGAAGCAGAAGAAAACTATCGTGTCAAAGCTTTTTACTCTAGTCTTATATAGAAATGTATAAAGTTTTTTTTTTGTACTTTGACAATAACATTTTTTGGGGATAGAAAGTGAATGTTGCTTTTCGTTATACATTCGTAACTAACTAATTTCATCTTGTTTTTTTCTATCTTGCAGCTGAGCGTGAAATCGTTCGTGATATCAAGGAGAAGCTCTGCTACGTTGCTCTTGACTTTGAGCAGGAGATGCAGACTGCTGCCTCATCCTCCTCCCTCGAGAAGAGCTACGAGCTTCCCGACGGACAGGTCATCACCATCGGTAACGAGCGATTCCGTGCCCCAGAGGCTCTCTTCCAGCCAGCTTTCCTTGGAATGGAATCCGCTGGAATCCACGAGACCTGCTACAACAGCATCATGAAGTGCGATGTTGACATCCGTAAGGATCTGTACGCCAACACTGTTCTGTCTGGAGGCTCCACCATGTACCCAGGAATCGCCGACAGGATGCAGAAGGAGATCACCGCTCTTGCCCCACCAACCATGAAGATCAAGATCATCGCTCCTCCCGAAAGGAAATACTCCGTATGGATCGGAGGCTCCATCCTTGCCTCTCTCTCCACCTTCCAACAGATGTGGATCAGCAAGCAGGAATACGATGAGTCTGGCCCATCCATCGTCCACAGGAAGTGCTTCTAAACAAATCGCTTTTTGTGAACAAACTTCCGAACATAAACTTTGCTATACGAGATGATTCTTTTTTGCCTCGTTGATGATGATCACGGATATTCCTTAATATTTCAGTATGAACGATTGCGACCAACCCAGCAAAAATCTTTCATCTATGCAATAATGACAATAAAGTGGGTTTTTAAAATCAATGAACCTTCTCTTTAACGGAACGACCAAACTGACGCTTTCTCAGAAGTTGGAGATAATACGACAATCTTTGAAAATAACTGTAATGCTGTAATTACAAATATCTTAAAGGTACTATATAACAATCTTATATACTAACTGGTTCAATTATGAAATGGTCTATTTCAAACTCCTGGAGAACTTTTTTAAAATATTAATTTTGAGGCAGGAAGTTTATTGTTAAGTGGTGTAATAATGTGCCCCTGACATGTTTCTGTTCTTTGTACACGTTTTGTAAGCAATGACGGGATGCCTAAATTGCCACAAATCATTTTCTTTTTTTAAAGAAATATTTGTTATTGTTAATCTAAATACCAAGAAATCCTTAAAAAAAAACATTCAAAGATTATTATTTATAACATGAGAGCTGCTAATAACTAATACTTTGTTTGAAATGTTTCAAGCCGTTACAAGGTATCGTCATATATTAATATATTATATTGTATACACTATTTCATATAAAAAATATGAATTCTGAATATATATGTATTTTGTAAATAAATTTATACAGATGTTCATACATTATAATTAACTGTAGTTAAACGAGGTATTTTTTTGTTTCTTATAAAAAAATGATAAGAGTATGTTTTGGCTAAGAATGATGTTGTGATGAGGTGGGCGTCCATTATAGGGGTGGAAAAGGTTCGGAGAGCAGCTGCTGCCTCATAATTCCGAAATTATGAAAATATATATTTCTATCGAGCGTCTCATGAACATAAAGTGAGAGAGATATTAAGTGAGAGACAGTGAAAGATAGAGAGTGAAAGACTTAAGTGAAAGACAGTGAATGATAGAGAGATAGTGAGAGAGATAGTGAGGTATAGTGAGATATATATACAGAGTGAGAGATTGATAAAGAGAAAGAAAGAGAGAGAGAGAGAGAGAAGGAGATGTTTAGGTAAGTTTGCAATGTGTAATGTGAATAAATTATTAAGCAGGCAAGGTAAACAAATAAACAAGGAAATTAAAAAAAGAGTCTTCGGATAGTCATAATACATTATTTTATAGCCCTTTGGCCTACAACCAGTTTGTCAACTACCTAATTGGTCTATCACTCATTTTGGTCTAATTGCCAGTCTGTCTTATGCCCATTTTGTCTACCATCCATATGGTCTAATAATCAGCTAATCATTAATAATAACCACCATCAAATGATTATTAGACCTCATAAATGGTAAACAAGTCGGGCATTTAGACAAACTGGGAATTAGACTAACTGGTTATTAGACTAAATGAACAATATACTAAATGGGTAGACTAGTTGGAGATAAGACCACATGGAAATAAGACCAAATGACAATTCATTAGACCAAATGATAAGTAGACGAAATGATGAGACCATGTGGATAGCAGGTGGACATTCGTAGTAGGTCGGGCTGGACGTAGACAATAATTATGATAATAGGCTAATACTATTGGGTCCAGTAGACGAGCTGGTTATAGACCGAACGGCAATTCACCAATATATATTATTATATAATTATGTATAGAGAGAGACAGAGAGACAGAGAGAGACGGACAGACAGAGACAGACAGAGAGACCGAGAGAGAGAGAGAGAGAGAGAATGGCAGGGCTATAATTTCAAGGGTGTGGCCGTGAGATTAGAGAAGGGGAAGGAAACACAGATAGAAGGGGGAGTCTGGAGGGGAGGGAGAAGGAGAGAGTGAGGGGATAGGGGTTAAAGAAGAAGAAAATAGAAGGAAGAGAAAGATTAAGAAAAGTAAGAGGGAATGGAAAAGAGGGAGAGAGAGGGGGAGGGGAGATCGAGAAGGAGAGGGAGAGGATTGAGAAAGGAGGAGAATATGGGGAAGCAGAAGAGAGAGAGAGAGAGAGAGAGAGAAGGGGGGAACCAAAATTATCACGCTTTCTGATAAAGCATTGAATACTAAAAAGAAAAAGAAAAATATGTGGAATAACAATTATTATTAGAGCAACCATTATATCAAATGAGGCAAAAGTGTAAATTTTCTCTCACTGGATTCGCTCGCTCCCGAACTTTAGAAACTGAAAAGTTGATATTCGATCAAAATGGCATCAAATCCCTCTGGCACAACTGAACCAGTACGTTTATTGGTGCACCCGCAGCCCCTGCCCAGCCCCCATACGTTTATCGTTATTCGCCGAAAGTATTTCTTTTGTCTATGCCAAAACAATTAACGGGGAGAAATCCACCTTGATAATCAGCTGGTATCGATTACTAGAGAAACAAATAGATTAACCGTTATGGATTGTTGAAGTTGTTTATCAGTGAAAGTGTGAAACACAATGAAGCATCCAAGTGGAATGGCACTACCGAGAATAGAGCTCAACAAGCAGACGCCACAAGGTGGCGCTAAAATCGAATAAAATACAACACCAATGTGTGTAAAATGAGTCTAGCGCCTTATACAGCACAATAAAGCGGGTAATGAAAAATGCTTCTTACTTTCTTTCTCCCGACTGTCCACATTGTGCACTGTGTGTTTTCAACGATAATTCTTTTCACAATCGACTGTATTTCCTAAAAATACCCGAAATCATCTTACAGATTTCATTGATTTGTGGTTAAATATTACGTACATACAATTCTCTTGTTTTCAATGTTTTAAATCCGAATTAATGCTAAAGCGGTACCATGATGAGGTGAAAATTATTTTGCATTTTATCAGGGGCTGATATAAATATCCAGAAGGGAATGGTGAGCGAAAAAAAGAAATCTGACATTAAGCAAAGCGACATGATTTTTCAAGAGTAACGCTGGTCCTTTTACAAAATACAAACATGCTTTGAAATTAGCCTGAAAAGAAATACTCTTTAAATTATTCGACTTCTGATAAGTTATCGCTGAAAATTAGGGCGGACAAAACATATATGTGTGTAGTCCCATATACCGACTTCTTTGGCAGTTTATGTCATTTTCAGCAAAGTAAGGTCAATTTTTTTTGGGGGGAAAAAAATCATTCCAATTTCTCAATCAGTATTAATTGCTTCTTACATACTACATAATTAATCTTTCCAAAATGCCTGTAAATTTAACATTTAAAGAAAAGGTTGAGTCTTGTAAAGATTTACAAAAAATATAATATATCATCGAGGTATTTGAGCCTTTTCATCCTTCTTTTTCGTGTTTCGTGTCGGTGTTATTAGTTCAGAAGAATATGATTGTATATCAAACAGCAAAAATTGAACAAGAATAGATAGCAAAAGGAAAGAAATTAGGTATGTAGAGTACTGATCGATGTAATAACTCGTAAACAACCCTGTTATAAGGAAGTGAGCCCTTGATTATACATATTAGGTATGGAGAGATCTAATCCTCACGTGTATTCGTGTACAGCCACTTGTGTGAATCAGACCAAATGCATGCGCCTGCGTGTGGGTGGAGCAAGAAAAAAAAAAAAAAAAAAAACGCCGGGTGGTTTTTCGAGGCGATCCCCTATAAGGATATTAATGAGTGCGCCGAGGCGTGCGGTGCGTCTAAAATTCTCCTTATATGGTCAATATGCTTCTCGTACAACTCGGGATAGTAGTATATACCTGCTTGCGCCTTCATCTCAGCTTCATTCAAGTTTCAACCTCGAACCGGCAACCTCACATCTCTCCTCTCTTTCTTTCGGTAAGTCTATATTTCTTGAATTCGTTTTTACGGGCATCAATTTTCTCCACCCAGCTCGAGAATCTTACTCCATACGCATCGCATTCAAAGGGCATTTTAAAATCTGCTCCAGTCAGTGGTTATTCCATATTAGGATATTGGATTCCGGTACTGGGTTCGTATGCTTTTTTCGAATCGAGCAAATATCATCTCACAAATTATCTTCATTTTTATTAGTCATTGCACTTATATGTATTTTGAAACTGATGTATGATTGTAACTCTATGTCTAAGTAAGAATTGTATTATGTGTAAGTTGTACCTTTAATTGCAAATCGAATGTATATCGCACAATCGAAGGAGATGTTACTTTATGTTTTCCCGGTCTTTTTTTCCGGCGAGGACACCTGTTCTTGTTGGGCGTGCCACGCCAACTGACATCGCATCGCACATGCTTTTCACGCGTACGTTGATGATTGGCCACAGCAAAATAGCAGGGATTGGGAATTTGGATTGTAAAAGGTATCGCGTTTTTAAAATTCTTTTCCTTCCGTACATCTTTTGTTAAATCGCATTTTGTCAATTCATTTTTGTTGGAAATCAAAGCGAAATTGCATTATCTACTTAATCTAAAGCACACTTCCTATTGTTGGGAAAGGGTGTGGCTTTGAAGATGATCAAGTCGGATGTATCTGTGCAAACTGCAAATGCTTCAAAATTTAAATTTATGTTCAGACCTAATGCGTTATTTTGTTCTAAAATGGTGTCATTCCAGTTTCATTCAATGTTGCACACATTTGCTTTTAGAATTTAATTCTTATAATAGAAGTAAAATTGTGTTGGCTATATCTAAACGAAGCCTCTAGAATTTGTAGCAAATATTTAAACGTCTGTTTTAGCTGATTAAGCTTTGAAATATTTCCTTGAGTTTTTTAATAGTTTGATGTAGACTCTACAAGACATTTAATTCGTAAGACGGAGGATGCTGATGAAATTGTTGGTTGTTACTATATTTGTTATCCTTCCCGTTTCCTTCTATCCATAGAGGCGTATCTCGCTTACAATAAAACAATTTGGAAACATATTTATTTGGATAATTGCACCAGAAAATCTAGAGTTAAGTCGTGTCCACTTTTTTTTTACATTGGTGTATATGCACAGAAATATTCATAAAAATATTCAGGTCGCAAAATTGCATGTAGCATGCCGCAGACGATCGATTTCGGCGCATTGCCATGCCTGGGCTTAGTCATTATGTATCGGCTCTTCATTGGTCGAAAAGGTGTGGGCGGTTTAGCTGCTAATATTGAATATTCAAATGATGCCGGTGCGTCGCGCGATCGTTTGTCTATCCCATTGGCGGTCAGCACGAAGACGATCCCTGTGTCGCATGCATAATTAATTAGCTTCGCCCGGAGGTCGTTCATAAATTTCGGATAGGGGCGTGGCATGTAGATGATAGAGAGCACGCATGCGCATATGCTCGAGAAACCTGTTCGCTCTGCGAATGCAGTGGCATAGGCGGTTGGTGGGTGCGGCAGTTCAGACCACGTGTGTTTCCCGGATTGGTAAACTCCGTATCAGGAACTCCTTATCAGTAAAACTTGACGAGCTTTGTACACTTTTAATGACATTTCGATTATTCTTTCAAGAGAATTTCCCTGCCACAAAATTACTTCGTTCTTTTATTTCTCTTTCCTGTGCAATTCCAATTACTAGCATTTTATTTATGATGCATTTTTGTGTTTTTATTTTAGAGTAAATAAAACAAGAAATCAATCATCATGTGTGACGACGATGTTGCCGCTCTTGTCATCGACAACGGATCCGGTATGGTGAAGGCCGGATTCGCCGGAGACGATGCCCCAAGGGCTGTCTTCCCATCCATTGTTGGCAGGCCCCGTCACCAGGGTGTCATGGTCGGTATGGGACAGAAGGACAGCTACGTCGGAGACGAGGCCCAAAGCAAGAGAGGTATCCTCACCCTGAAGTACCCCATCGAGCACGGTATCGTCACCAACTGGGACGATATGGAGAAGATCTGGCATCACACCTTCTACAATGAACTCCGTGTTGCCCCAGAGGAGCACCCCGTCCTCCTTACCGAGGCTCCCCTCAACCCCAAGGCAAACAGGGAAAAGATGACACAGGTAAGAACAAGCGATATGCCTATTAATTATTGAAGTAATCAAATTCTCAAAACAAATACATTTTCACATTTAAACATCTTAAGCAGTTTATTAATATTAATACCAAGTGAAAAAACATTTCGAAATAACAGCAATTGACTAAATCAAACTTGTTGTGATTAGTTAACTGAAATCGGTGATTAACAATCATTTTGTTTTCATGTCTTCTGCAGATCATGTTCGAGACCTTCAACTCACCCGCCATGTACGTCGCCATCCAGGCCGTGCTTTCCCTCTATGCCTCTGGACGTACCACTGGTATCGTTTTCGACTCTGGTGATGGTGTTTCACATACTGTGCCCATCTACGAGGGTTATGCCCTTCCCCACGCCATCCTCCGTCTGGACTTGGCTGGACGTGATCTCACAGACTACCTGATGAAGATCCTTACCGAGCGTGGCTACTCTTTCACCACCACCGGTAAGATATTTTTGTTTAAAAATCAAAGAGTGATGAAGCTATTTCCTGCATCCTGTGCTTAAAGATTATTAAAAAAAGAGGAGGGAGGATATTATATATGATTATGTTAATTTTCTTTGAACTTTGACAATAACATTTTGGGGGGATAGAAAGTGAATGTTGCTTTTCGTTATACATTCGTAACTAACTAATTTCATCTGTTTTTTTCTATCTTGCAGCTGAGCGTGAAATCGTTCGTGACATCAAGGAGAAGCTCTGCTACGTTGCTCTTGACTTTGAGCAGGAGATGCAGACTGCTGCCTCATCCTCCTCGCTCGAGAAGAGCTATGAGCTTCCCGACGGACAGGTCATCACCATTGGCAACGAGCGATTCCGTGCCCCAGAGGCCCTCTTCCAGCCAGCCTTCCTTGGAATGGAATCTGCTGGAATCCACGAGACCTGCTACAACAGCATCATGAAGTGCGATGTTGACATCCGTAAGGATCTGTACGCCAACACTGTTCTGTCTGGAGGCTCCACCATGTTCCCAGGAATCGCCGACAGGATGCAGAAGGAGATCACCGCCCTTGCCCCACCAACCATGAAGATCAAGATCATTGCTCCTCCAGAAAGGAAATACTCCGTATGGATCGGAGGCTCCATCCTTGCCTCTCTCTCCACCTTCCAACAGATGTGGATCAGCAAGCAGGAATACGATGAGTCCGGCCCATCCATCGTCCACAGGAAGTGCTTCTAAACAACTCGCTTTTGGTGAACAAACTCTTAAACATCAATATCAAGGAAACGACCATGATCTCAAATTGCAAAGTTTAAGTATGAACCATTGCGGGCAATGCAGCCGAAAAACTCGCGCTTTCTCAAAACTTGGAGACTGCAGAGTATAGACAATCATTGATAATAACAGTAATGCTGTGATTACCAATATCTTAAAGGTACTATATGTATAATATATCTTGAAGAATAAGTGGTTGAATTACGAAATGGTTTATTTCAAACTTCTGGAAAAGTTTTTTTTGGGAAATTTTGAGGCAGTAAGATTAAAGTTTAGTTAGAGGTGTGATAAATGTGCCCCTGGCATATTTGTTTTCTGAACACGTTTCGTAAACAAATTTGGGATGCCACAATTGCCACAAATCTTATTTTTCAAAATTGTTAACCTGAATGCTAGGAAATCCTTCAAAAAACCTTGAAAGATTATTTTTTCTTCATAACTTGAACGATCCTTAACATTTATATGTTTGAAGCTCTCACAAGGTATTGTATATATTATTTCATATACAAACAAATATGAATTCTGCAAATATATGGATTTTGTAAATAAATTTATACAAATGCTAAAAGTGTTTTTTTTTCTTATAAAAATAACAAAATTATGATTTTGGTTTGGTATGATGTGAGGTGGTTTTCGATTCTGGTGCTCCATAATTCCGAAATTCAAATCAAAGTGTCCTCCCCCCCCTCCCTATGGCCCTATCCCGAATCCACGTATTGCTTCCAACATCTGGTCTATCCGTTAATATATTTGTCATTACTTGAACAAACATTTCTAAGGTTGGAAAACAAGGGGGAAAACATTGTACATTTTGTAGAGGAAGGAATGAATGATGAGAAGGGAAAGAGAAACTAATTTAATTAATGAGACGGGGAGAGAGAGTTTAATGATGGATACAGGGGTGAGATACAGCGATGTATGGAGATGGAGTGAGAGAGAGAGAGAGAAAGACAATAATATATCATGAGAGAGAGAGAGAGAAAGACAATAATATATCATGAGAGAGGGAGTGAGAGATAGTTATTGGTAGATACAGAGATGGATGGAGTGAGAGAGAGAAAGACAATAATATATCAAGAGAGAGGGAGTGAGAGATAGTTATTGGTAGATACAGAGATGGAGAGAGAGAAAGACAATAATATATCAAGAGAGAGGGAGTGAGAGATAGTCATTGGTAGATACAGAGATGTATGGAGTGAGAGAGAGAGAAAGGCAATAATATATCAAGAGAGAGAGAGAGAGAGAGAGAGAGAGAGAGAGTAATGGAAGATACAGAGATGTATGGAGATGGAAAGAGAGAAGGGAAGGGAGGTGCATATGCAATGTAAAGAATTAAGCAGGCAAGGTAAAGAGAAGCTGGGGCTTCGGATAAATAAATACATGTACATAATATATAGACTTCCTTCAAAATCCATTTATTACTTGGCTCAGTACGCCTATGGGTGGAGCCCCCTCCCCAGTCCCTCCGTCTCCCCCTTTATCGTTCGTCGAGAATGCGATGTCACAGCCAGTTCACTTTACTCCATCATTAACAATCAATATACATGTACAAAACATACAATACATAATTAATTGTTAGCCTGAAGCCCCTTAAAGCCAAGTCTGGATAAAATGGACATCCCAAAACACATGCAAGTATACAGAATCTACACCAAAACAAAAATTACATAAAACACTTCACTGCAGGTAAACAGGAATAAATAATAATAAATAATAATGAACAATAATAATAAGCACATGCTTGTGGGGGGGGGGGGGGGGGGGGGGGGTCCAATTTGTGAGGAAATATTTAGCAGCCAATCATCCGGCAGCCGGTTTTAAAAATGAGGGGGGGGGGGGGCGGGGCCGTTTTAGTTTGTTTTTATTTTTTTAAAGAAAAATTTACGTTACCATCCTTTTTTTTAACCATTTTTTTTCAGAAACTGTCAATATGAGAATATTAGGCGTGACGGAGCTAAATAAGGGCAATTCGAACAAAATTATGCGTAAAGCCTTTTTTGCAATTTATGTTTCGGGTCTAATTTTGTAATGGGCCAACCAGCCCATGTTTGTTTGTTTGTATGATTGATTTTATTTCTGCGTTCAAAAATATACAAATTCAAAGTCAAAGTACAAAATTTCGAACAATAACAAATACAATGAATACAATGTTTACATAAGTAATTGAATGAAAAATCATGTACAATTATATCATTCGATAAACATGTACGAAGCATACAATAATATAAGAAATATGAAATATTTTCAATAAATTAGAGAGGTAATTTGGAACGCAGTAGACCACCATCGTGAGCGGTTAGGTAATGTTGTAATGAATAAAAAAGCCTTTCGTATTTTGTGTGCATGGCTGATCGTCAACGAAACGGAGTTATATTAAGACATTTGTCAACTCTGTTTGTTGCTACGGCAGGCAGCCATTGAAAATGAACTCGTTTAATCAAATTATGGAAATGCAAGCATAACTCTAAACAAATAGAACTATGTTATTCCTGGCTCATTTTTCCTGATTGAGGTGTCATAATATGAAAGGGCAGAAATTAAACTTTCTAGAAATGTGATTTCCTCTTTGAAATTCAGATACCGCCTGCCAAATGACTTTTGGTTTCCTCTCTTCAAATTGTTTTTAATCACTCATGCGTGAAATATGCATCATATATATGAGTTGCATCAAATGAAAGAGGAGGATCTAAGCTTTACAAATATGTGTCATTTATTAATTATAATTGTGATTAAGTTATGATAAATTATCGATAATTCTCGGTTTCGTTTATTCTGGGATGCACTGTATATCAATGTGAACAGAGTAAGTTAATCATCCCGGCCCCCACTCAGTGTTATTTAGGGTACGCATATGCGTGTTCCCAGCGCCACCCCCCCCCCCCCCCTTTTCCAGCAAAAGTCCGGTGTGTAAAGTCAATACGGGTCGCCCTTTTTCTTTTGTTATACGAGCCTTTTTCAGCAACCCCCCCCTTTTTTTCAGCAAAAGTCCGGTGTGTAAAGTCAACACTGGTAGACCCTTTTCTTTTGTTACGAGCCGGAGAGTTTGGGAACACGCATGGTATCCCTCCGTTCACGGAGTGTTGGGGGGGGGGGGGGGGTGTGGTAATCATAAAAAGCAATTTTAAATAAATGTGTCTTAAGACAAGTTTTGAATTGGTTAAACAGTCAGTCTGACAGGTTTTGCCATTTAAAGGAAATTTGTTCCAAAGTTCAGCAGAAGCTTAATGAGGTGTATAACATAATGAGGTGTATTAGCTAAACAATTATGCCCAAACCTGATTCGCAATTAAGGAGACGAGATGTCTGTCTGAGTTAATTTTGAAGCTCTTCATTTAAACCTTACTGTACTGGGGAGGGGGGGGGGGGGCTGGGAGGTCCCCCCTCGACATTTCGGAGATTGTGCCGCAACCGCTTAGAATTTCGAATTGTCGTTTCATGACTTTTTTTCCCTCAAGTCTTACGCAGATTTTGATACAATTTTCGTCGAAATCGGATGTACCTGTAAGGTGTTATAACAATTAGTATGCGCATGTCATAAAAAATATGCTATAATTGCATATATTCATGTTCAAGCATAAATGAGAATACTATGAATTGATACCAAATTGCTTTTATATGTTTCTCAAAGTAACTTGATGTATTCCAGAACAAAAGAATACATTAGAAATAAAACAATAGATATAATAAGAAAAAAACACAATATAATACAAAAGAAAATAAATATTTGAAAATCGCATCAAATTTGCATAAATTATCATTATTATTCATTATTAATTACATCAAAATAATTATTTTGTGTTAGAAAAGAAGTTTCATATGAATAATGGGTTTCAATTAGCATTTAAAAAGTGGAGTCTGACAAGTTTTGTAATGATTCTAGTTCGTTGTATATTTCTAGATTTTATATTCATGATGCGTATTCATAATTTATGCAAATTAACCTATGCACTTTCAAATATCATAAAAATAATGTAACCTTATGTGGTATAGGGCGCTACCCAAAATGGAGCCAGAGCTGAATAATTAATAACAAATAATTAACAAGCATTCGCCAAAAGGTGGCGCCAAAGTATAACAATCTACAAATAACATAACCACTGTGATTATTGGCGAAGACCAAGTCAATAGCCGAGGTGTGTAAGATATGTCTAGCGCCCCCTACAGCACAACATTGTAAAGCGGGTAATGACAAAAGTGTTTTTTGTCCCCTCCGACTGTCCTCATCGTGTTTTCATTAATTACTCTTTTCACAATTAACCATATTTCCTAAAATATCCGGAATCAGCTTGATAGACTTTTTTTAATTGTGGTTAAAATGTAAAGTTCTTCACAACGATAAACAGTGGAGTAGCTACGAAGAGGGGGGGGGGGGGCCTTGTGCCCCCAATGGGATGGAAAACAAAAAAGGTGAGAGCGAGGAGAGAGTTGAAGGAAAAGGGGAAAAAAGTGAGATAATATTTTTTTTAAATAGATTAGAATAGATAGATTGCTCGAAAACACTTTTCAGATATTATGTCAATCAGTAATGTGGGAACAACATGATCAGTCTCAAATGAAAACTGTTTTAAATGTGTATTAGCACTTAAAGACTTCGGTTGAAACCGCTTTATAAGCATCGTTTTCATTATTATTATCAAACGTTTATCGAAAATGCTTTGGGGTGATCCGATCTGCGCCCTTCATAGTGTAAAGTAAATAATTAAAAGAAATGGAGAAGTAGGTGAAAGATAGAAGACATACGAGAAAAGAGACAGACTAGAGTATGCATGTTTGTCCGCGTCACTTTAAAATGCAAAAATTTTCCCACTTGAAAGGGGCAAAGGGTACATTACCTCCAGGCAGTGGCGTAGACAGGTTCGTACACCTGGGGGGGATGATTCAGGGGCGGATCTAGCTTTTTGCTAAGGGGGGGTTGACCTAAATAATGACGATGCAGAGCATCGTCCACGAGCCGCGAAGCGGCGAGCCGATTTTTTTTGGGGGTGTATATTTGAACCCCGTAAGTGATGTTTTCCTGGCATCTATTAACACAATGGAGACCATAAAAAGCAGTGCATGATAACGTCTTTTTAAATCAAGTAACAGTTAAATACACAGTTATATCCAGAGTTATCATGTGTTTGGTTAAGTTACCAGATGAGTTGAATATCTTCTCACAATATTTGCACTTGAAAGGGTTTCTCTCCAGCGTGCGTTCTTTTTTCTTTCTTTTTTCCTTTTTTTTCTTCTTTTTTCCCCCTTTTTTTGGGGGGGGGGAGGGGGGGCCGCCCAAGGGGGGGGGTTAAACCCCCTAACCCCCCCCCCCCCCGTAGATCCGCGCCTGTTTAATATTGTGGTTATCTTGTGGTTTCCAAATCACAAGATAACCACAAAATACTTGTAAGATTTTCTTTTTTTACCGTCTGAATTGGCTTTCACCGTGTGAATGCGGCTAATAACAATAAACACAATTACAATAATGATGAGGATTATTATTATCATCATCATAATTATTATTATTATTAATATTATAATTGTTATCATTATTATTATTACTATAATTATCACCATTATG